TGTGGCTTTTCTCTATTAGCATTTTATTTTAAGAACTTCGGAATATTCACCGAAGAAGGGGCCTTAGAGACTGAGCAGGAAGCTCCCTTCTGCCACAGATAACAGTAATCAGAGCTTCCTTTTGTTGTGGGCGCTCCCTGAGACGCTCTTCATGGATGATTACAGAGAAGCTAACAGGGATTGAGCACCCCCGGGGCCCACCTGCTGGGCAGGGGCTTTATGTGAATTCATTCCTTGCATGTGCCTACTGCCCTTCAGAGGCTGGTACTGTCACTACCCAACAGCAGACAGGTTTGGAATTTTGTTTTTGTTTTTGGCATTTAAAAGCCTCAGGGTTTTGAGGTTCTATTATTGCTTATTAGGACACCATGCAGGTCCCTGATCTAAAGTCCGCTGGGATGCTAGAGAGCTGGATTGGCAAACCACAGAAATCAGGCCTGCTGTCCTTTTTTGTAAATAAAGTTTTATTGGAACACAGCCACACCCATTCATGTACATTCATTTACATGCTGTCTGTGGCTGCTTTCCAGATACAGTGACAAAGTGGAGTAGTTGTAACAGAGACTGCATAGCCCCCAAAGTAAAAAATATTTACTGTCCGGCCCTTTTCATAAAGTTTTCCAGCTCCTTCATATATAACTAGAGGCCCGGTGCACAAAAATTTGTATTTGTGCACTGGGGCGGGCGGGGGGGGGGGGGGTCCCTCAGCCCAGCCTGTGCCCTCTCGCAGTCTGGGACCCCTCAGGGGATGACGACCTGCTGGCTTAGGCCCGCTCCCCGGGGGATTGGGCCTAAGATGGCAATCAGACATCCCTCTGGCAGCACAGCAGCCCTCAGGGGATGTCCACTTGCCAGCGGGGAGCAGGCCTAAACTGCAGTCGGACATCCTTAGTGCTGCTGAGGAGGCAGGAGAGGCTCCCACCACCACCGCTGTACTGGCAGCCATCAGCCTGGCTTGGCTGAGCAGAGCTCCTCCCATGTGAGAGCGCCCTGACCACCAGAGGGCAGCTCCTGCATTGAGCGTCTGCCCCCCTGGTGGTCAGTGTGTGTCATAGTGACCAGTCATTCCCAGTCCTTCTGCTGTTAGGGCCAGTTTGCATATTACCCTTTTACTATATAGGATAGAGGCCTGGTGCACGGGTGGGGGCCGGCTGGTTTGCCCTGAAGGGTGTCCCGGATCAGGGTGGGGGTCCCGCTTGGGTGCCTGGCCAGCCTGGATGAGGGGATGATGGCTGTTTGCAGCTGGTCACACCTCCTTCAGGGTGGGGGTCCCCACTGGGGTGCCTGGCCAGTCTGGGTGAGGGGCTGAGGGCCGTTTTCAGGCTGGCAGGTGACTGAAGCTCCCAACCTCTCCTTTTTTTCTTTTTATTCTGGGATTTATTTACCTTCTATGGCTGTCACTGGAGCTGAGAGCTGGCTTTAGCTCTGAGGCTCGGCTCCAGCTCTGAGACCTCGGCTGCTGAAAGCAGGTATTTGGGTTTGTTTGGCTTCTATAATTGAAACACTGTTGCAGCTCCAGCTCTGAGGCCCGGCTGGCTGAAAGCAGGTTTCTGAGTTTGTTTAGCTTCTATAATTGCAACATTGTTTCTTAGAGTGCAGCTCAGAGACCGGCAGCAGCAGGTGGGGAACCTTGGCTTCCTCCATCACTGGAGCAAGCAAGCCTCCTGTTTGCTTCAGCTGCCTAGCTGCTGGCCACCATCTTGGTTGGCAGTTAATTTGCATATCGCCCTGATTAGCCAATGGAAGCATGTCGGAGGTATGGTTAATTACCATGTTTGTCTATTATTAGATAGGATTGTGGTTATGAGAAGAATCAGACAGACTTGGGTTTGGGTTCAGATCCTGGCTTTGCCACACACTGTTCAACTCTGTAAGCTTTTACTCTCTCTGGTCCTCAGTCTCCACATCTGTGAGATGGGGCTGCTTGCACTTCCCACCTCTCAGGGTAGCCATGAAGGTGCTGGGTTCTGTGTCTGGCATGCGGCAATGCTCTGTAAATGCCGGCTGTTACCAGTGGTACTGGGAGGGCCTCCTCCACGTGACTTCCTTTTATTTTACATTCTGGGCTTCTGGGTAAAATTGCAGGAAGAGTGTCTTTGTTGCTTGAAAGGAGGTTTGAAAACCACTGCTTTAGATCAAGTTGGCAGAGGCCTTGGTGGGTGCTCTTGAGGGGCTCATAGAACTAAACAGCCTGTTAGATTCAGGGGGCCACAGGGGCTCCCCAAGAAGGAAACAGGATTGGGGTTCCCAGGACAGGCAGGCTGTGCTAACTGCATGAGTTATCTATTGCTGTGTAACAAATTACCCCCAAGGTTATTGGCTTAAACATTATCTCAGTTTCTGTGGGTTGGGAATTCAGGAATGACTTTGCTAGGAGGTTCAGGCTCAGGGTCTCTTGTGAGGCAACCAACATTCAAGCTGTTGGCCTGGCCTCAGTTTCATTTGAGGGCTTGACTGGGCTAGAGAACCGACTTCCTAGGTGGCTCCTTCACACAGCTGTTGGCTGGAGTTCTCAGCTCCTCACCACATGGGGGTCTTCACAGGCTGCTTGCCTGTCCTCAAACATGGCAGCTGGCTTCCCCCAGAAGAAGAACCGGGAGGAAGTTGTAATATCTTTTATGACCTCCCCTGGGAAGTACCCCCTTCCCTTCAGGTCTTATTGTATTCATTAGAATTCATCCTAAGTCTGTCCCACACTAAAGGGAGTGGCCTTAGACTCCACCTCTCAGGGACATACCTGAGAACCACCACACTGACCCTATAGGCGTCACTCAGGCGCACTGTCCCAATGGTGCTGGGGCTGGCCTGAGAAGCAGTAGGAATAATAATCATCCCATTGCTCAGCTCCTGCTGTTGGCTAGGGGCCCAAATACGTGAGCTAATATCGTCCCAGTCTTGGGCTGATTGGGGAAAAACAAAGTGGCAGAGCTTAGAAATAAGGATTTTAACACCCAATGTGGTAGTGCCTGGAGTGTGTGTGTGTGTGTCAATGTAAATTTAAAGCACTCCTACTGCTCTGTCCCAGTTACTATACCAGATTCAAGTGAGACGCTGCTACCTTCCAGATGCTCACAGGAAAGGGAGACAGAATTAAGAACTAGTCATTCTAATACTGTGTGATCAGTGCTGGAAGATTGACGAATGATGAGTGTAGCTGGACAAAGGAGGGAGGGATCAGATTTGCTGGGGCATGTTCCCCAAAGAAGAGCCTATTGTGATGGGTTTTGAGGGATGAGTAGGAGCTCGTTACCGTGGTAAAGGAAGAAGAGCTTTCCAGGCAGGGGGATCAGCCCATACAAGGGCATGAAGGGGCTGGAAAAGCCAGTGTATTTGGGAAACAATGAGCAATTTGGAGAGAGTGGGCCGGCCACAGGGAACGAGGCTGCATGTCGTTTGGGCCAGATTGTGAAAGCTCAAAACTGGGCTGACTTTTAATTTATGATCAACATTTATGATCAACAGTGTATTTTATGACTCATGCGTCTGTGAGATGTTAACAGACTCTAAGGTTATTTAACATTTAAGTTCAGGAAGCCCAGGGTTTAGCACAATTAAAGCAACCCCTTTATTGCAGGACTTCGCACAACCTTTAATTCTCTCCAAGGGAGGGAGAGAGTAGATGGGATTCAGTCAACATTCAAATACGTGGGATTCCCAGACTCATTTGATCACAAAACCCCCTTCCCGAGGGAGCCTCAGGAGGCCTGTGTTCCAGGGAACACACTTTGGAAATGCTGCTTGTAGATATTGGCAAGAGCGAGCGAGTGTTCTGAGTCGGTATGCGGTATAATCAGAGTCGCAGTTTCTGGCTGCTGTTTGGAGGGTAGACTGAAGCGGCAGAAGCCAGGAGGTGGAAGGACTAGTTAGGTGCGTAGGAGGGAGAAGGAAGGGTGTCGGAGGCACGGAGGGGTGGCATCGGCAGGCTTGCAGGTTGATTAAATGGGCTGGGGGTTGAGGTGAGGAGGAAAGGAAGGCCTTGTGGCCCAGGCTCTGGTTTCTGGCAGATGGGATGCTATTGACTCGGCGGGAAGCGTGGAGGAAGGTATTTGGTGCGTGAGTGGAGCGGGTGCTTCTGGGTCAGGTGGAGGTCCCTAACTGAGCTTGGCCAAATTACCTGTACTTAATTTATGGGCGAGGTGGCACAAGGAATGTAACACCTTAGAAAAAATGGACAAGTTCTTAAAAAGCACAACTTTACCAAAATTGACACCAGTTGGAAACAGAAAAGCTAAGGAGCCCCATGTCTATTAAATTTGTGCCCAACCAGCATGGCTCAGTGGTTGAGCTTTGACCTATGAACCAGGAGGTCACGGTTCAATTCTCTGTCAGGGCACATGCCCAGGTTGTGGGCTCGATCCCCAGTGTGGGGCAGGCAGGAGGTGGCCGATCAATGATCCTCTCTCATCATTGATGTTTTTCTCTCTCTCTCTCCCTTCCTCTCTGAAATCAATAAAAGTATATTTTAAGAAAGAAAAGAAACTAAATTTGTAATCAAAAGTCTTTGCACAAAGGAAATTCCAAGCCCGGACAGTTTCACTGGTGAGTTCAACCTAACACGTAAGGAAGAAACAACACCGATCGTACGCAGGCTCCTTTAGAAAATCATTAATGGGAGAGGTGACTTCACGCATGGCTTCCACTCAGGCCTGGCTCCAATTCAAGCTCTGTTGCTTTCGTCTGTTATGTTTTGAGTACTTGCTATGTGTCAGACACATTCCAGGCACTGAAGTTATGTTTGGGAACAAAGCAGGTAAAACTCACTGTCCTCTCCGTGTTACACAAGGTCGTCGGGTGTGTCATTTAACTGTCCTGAGCCTCAGTTTCCTCATCTGTGAAGTGGGGACAGCGATGCCCTCTTTCCTGAGAGTTGTCAGGACTCACAGTGACGGTGAGGGGAGGGAGGCAGGCAGGCAGCCAGCGGTGGGCAATTCCCCAGCGGCCACTGATGCTTGTCTCTCTGTCATGTGTGTGTGTGTGTGTTCCACGGCCTGCCCTCTCAGGCTTTAAAATGTGTGTCAGCAGCAGCAGCAGCCACGATGAGGCCCCTGTCCTGAGCAACAAGCACCTGGATGTGCCCAACATCATCATCACCCCCCCGACCCCCACAGGCATGATGCTGCCAAGGGACTCCAGGAGGACAGGTGAGGCCACCCTGCCCTGCTTCCAGGTTGGGTGTGTGTGTGGGGGGTCGGGCTGGGGACAGCTCAAGGGCCCCCTTCTGTGCTATGGATCTGAGTTCATGTCCCCACCTCCCTGGGTTTATTAAAAATTTACCCTTGGATCTCCACCGTGGGCCCCTCACCGTGGCTCAGCCTCAGCGAGAGGTGGCATGTTAAGTAATTAGCTAGACAATCCCTCCCGGCAGCTGAGCGAGTGATGGATGGGGCTGGGCAGGCTCGCCGAGGTAATTGATGGATGCGCCTTCCCCTGCTAGCCAGGCGACCGACGCTCCATCTTGCTGGCTGCAGAGGTTCAGCTGGACAGGACAGGCTTGGAAATACGCCCACACCGGGCTGGGGCTGATCTCTGGGCCTTCCGGATGTAGCTCACTGCAGGGAGGGGAGGGAAGATGGAATTGTTCCCAGAGAGAGGGTGAGAGGGAGAGGCTGCCACTGGTGTCCCCAAGTGCCCTCTGTAGATACTGTTGGGGCTGGTGAGACAGATTGTTCATTTATTCATTAATCAGATTTATTGAGCCAGACCTGTGCTAGGTTCTGAGGTTGCTGTTGTAAAAAATAATAATAATAAATAATAATAACACATAATAAGTAATGATTCTGATAGCAGTAATTGAGTCCTAATAGTAAGTCTGAATTAGGTCTAGTTTGCTCCACATTTTATGAATGGGTAGACTGAGGTTCAGAGAGGTGGAGACACTTGTCATACAGCTGGTAAGTGGCAGAGTTGGATTCAGACCCAGACCGTGTGATATGGAACTCATCCTGTGGACCCCTAGTCTAGACGCTCTCCCCGTGGTTAGCATCATTCAGCCCACCCGCCATCGAGGCGTGAGTCCTGCCTCACCTTTACGGGGGACACAGGCTGACAAGGCTGTGTGGAGCTCATGGAAGTCTGTTGGGGGATTTAAGCACACTTCTCTAAATGTGTAGAGTTTGGATCTCAGCTTGCCCAGCAGGGCAAGTGACTAGAGAACGAGGTTGGACTCTGGACCAGGCCTGTGCTGTTACCGGGGCTGGGCCATGCTCAGGAAGGATAGAAATGTGTCACATTTCTATGTCCCCTTCCTGAGTGACAGGCACCGGGTCTAAGTGCTTTTCACATATCTTATTCCAACCCTAAGGGCTGTGAGTACCGTCCTTCTCTCTAGTTTACCGACGAGGACGCTGAAGTCCAGAGGGCGAGTGACCCACCCAAGGGCTTGCAGCGAAGCAGGAGAAGAGCTGGGCTCCTGCTCCAATGTCTAACCAAGAGCTCAGTGCGGGCAGCGGAGGCCCAGGTGCTTGGCTCTGCCGTTACACTCCCTTCCCTCTCTGAGCCTCAGTGTCCCCATCTGTTTAATGGGATCCTAACCACCTTCCCTGCTCCTGGGGCCATGCGAGTGCAGGGGAGACTCGTGGTTACTCTACAAGGTCTGTGGGGTGAGCATCTGGAGGCCCTGGGCCCCAGGGGGACTCCTAACATAGGGGAGAGGCTCCTTTCAAGCTTAAGCAGTTCCAGGGGCAGATTAGTGCAGAGGGACCAGCACAGGGGTCCCCTCCTGTCCTGTCCGAGGCAGAGCTCAGACCTGACCCTCCGCTCTCCCCATTCAGAGAAGGCAAGCATGGGAGAAAGAGCACAGATGTGGAGTCGTAAAACCCTGACTTAGGATCCTGGCTCTACTACTCATCAGCATGTGACTTTGAACAGGAAGCTCCACTTCCCCTAGCCTCAGTGTCTCCATCTATGAAATGGAGACAATAATAGTGCCTCAGAGAGGCTGTAGAAGACGAGGAAGGTCAAGGGCTGATTTCTGTGGTGTGTTGTGGATATTCTCATCAGGAAAGACCACCAGACCTGGGTGGCACTTCCTCTAGGCCTGAGGGCGCTGGGTGATGATTAGATACCTAGGGCTTCCCCAGGCAGCGAGGAATCAGAGAGAAGCCCAGCCCTGCCTGGCCACCTGCTGACTTGGAGCAGATCTCCACTCTCTAAGCATCAAATCCCCACCTCTAGAACTGCCCAGGAAACCCTATTTCCTGGGTGGTGCGCAATTCCAGGAACCTTAGCCAGGGACCCTGGGAGCTCAGCATTGCGTGTGTGGTGAGAGGCGCATGGGAATCCTGTGAGACCCAGCATCATTGGGATCCCCTCTCAACATCCATTGACACCACTGCCCATATATGGGGGAATCTCAGGGAGGTGATACAAAGCAAGGAGCCCACAGGCACTGGCCCCAGAGCTCCCAGGGAAAGGGGTCTGAAGCGGGTGGGGGATCCATCCACATGTTGATCCCCCTCTTGCCTCCTAGTCTGGCTGGAAGAGACGGGGTCATGTCCGGAGGATGGAGAAATAGACCCTGAAGCCTGAGAAGGAAGAACAGGTCTGGGATTTGTTGGCTCTGGCTCCGGCCCTGTCATCCTCGTTCCACGTGTCCCCGGTGGGGTGTAGCCGCCTGGGACAGAAGTGCCGAGTAAGCCGGATGGGAGAGTGATTTCAGCACTTGACCAGGAGAAGTGTGGCAAGATGAGCCAGGGACCAGCCCTGCACGCTTGCAGAATGATGTTTCCCTGGCCCCGTTGGTGGACCGGACCTCTGATGCCTACACATTCTTGCTGACCCCAGGGCCATGGTGATGGCCATCAGGGTGCCAGGGAGAGGCTTTCTTCTGGACACACACACTCCCCGCACCCTGGACCACGCAGACGGTGCCCAGGAGATCAGCACACACAAGAACTTCTTGCAAAGGAGTGGCTACATTTTTTACAAGTTGTTTTACAGATCTCAAAACAGTCCAAAAGTGATTTATAATTTTTTTTGCATTATAAATAAAGATCCTCTGTAACGAATGGTAAACCCTGCTTCTTGGTTGGGCGGAGGAGATGGAGCACACCCGGATACAGAGGTGGGTTTAAGAGAGTCGGTTGTCATGGAGGTCTGGCTGGCGATGAGCCTTTGGATGGTCTTGGGTCCCACTGAACTGCAGACCACTGTGTGGGCCTGGGCATGGCCAGGGGCATGGCGCATAAGTCACACAGACCTGGTTTGAGTCCCAGCTCCTTGCCTGCCAGCTGTGGAATCTTGGTAAGACATCTCTAGGATGGGAGGTAATGGTTTGTTTTGTTTTTCTAATTTATTAATTTTTTTATTGCATTTATTAGGGTGATATTGGTTACTAAAAATTGCATAAGTTTCAGGTATACAGTTCTACAAGTCATCACCTGTACATGGTACTGTGTGTTTATCAACCCAAGTCAAGCCTCCTTCCATCACCATTTATTCCCGTTTACCCTCTTCTACCGCCCTCCACGCCACCCCTTCTCTGGCGATCACCATACTGTTGTCAATGGTTTTGTATTTTTTTTAAAGAACATCAAATTGTTGGTGTTCCCCTCTCCCCATAGACTGTTCTAATCATGACACAAGTGTTTCTGTTCGTTTTCTTTGGTTTCCATCCGAGCTGTGTGGCTTATCCTGGCTTTGGTTTGTCCACTGTCGGAGTTGGGTTCTCCCAGGAGCAGAGGGGCGGGCCATGGCTTTGGGAGCAAGGAGTCTATCTGGCAGGTGATCCTGGGGTACACGGGTGGAGGACAGGCCAGTGCAGTTCCGGGATGCCCAAGACCAGGCTCAGATTCAATAACTTGCTAGAAGGACTCAACTAAAAAAAAAAAGCCCATTATAGTTGTGCTTATGGTTTATTACTGCAAAAGGTTGCAGAGCAAAATCAGCAAAGGGAAGAAGCCCAACAGGTGGGGTCCAGGAGAGACCAGGCAGGCGTGAGCAGCCAGGAAAGGCACACGCAAACAGCACTCACTCCTCCCAGCAGCGATGGCGACACTCGCACCCTAGGTGGCGCCTGCCAGGGACACTCACCTGAGTCTTGGTGTCCTGAGTTTTCACTGGGGGTTGGTCAGGTAGACATGTCTGACCAGCCCCGTGGTGGCCTCAGGGGTCAGGCTGATACCACATGACCCAGACCCCACCTTGTAGGTTGTAGATGGTCCAGGGAAGCAGAGACACTCCTATCAGGCAGGGCAGTCCAAGCCTTAGAAGTCACCTCTCTAGAACCACGGGCAGAGGTCAGCTCTCTGGGCACCATTCTTTCTTCACTGCAAAGAATTGAGGCCAGGAAGGGAAGGAGCCGTAGGGGGTCTGGAGCCTGTCAACCTCCTCACACACTGGACTGTTGAGTGCCTGGATTGTATGATGGGCCCCGCAGTCAGGGCCTGCTCCATGGGCCTGCGATGGGCACAATCCAACAGGGCCCACTCTCAGAAGGACCCACTCTCTGCCATTGCTGCCTAGAAATTCTTTTTTTTTTTTAATATATTTTATTGATTTTTTTACAGGGAGGAAGGGAGAGAGATAGAGAGCTAGAAACATCGATGAGAGAGAAACATCGATCAGCTGCCTCCTGCACACCCCCTACTGGGGATGTGCCCGCAACCAAGGTACATGCCCTTGACCGGAATTGAACCTGGAACCTTTCAGTCCGCAGGCAGACGCTCTATGCACTGAGCCAAACCGGTTACGGCCCTAGAAATTCTTAATCCTTGTTGAACAAGGGCCTGAATGTTCATTTTGCACTGAGTCCCTGAATGATACAGGGGTCCTGCTTCCTACAGAGGCGCACACAGCTCTCGATGGGAGCGATACCACAGGCACGTGGTAAGAAGAGCCTGTGGGTTGGGAGATGTAGCCATCTCTGGAACCACAGTCTGCCACCCATTCATGCAGTTTCTGTCTCTGGAATGCCTTTGCTGCCTTTTACCAGCCTAGTCTCTTGGCAAAGCCAGGTCCATTGCCACCTGATGCTGCTCCCACTGGGCCCTGTAATTAAAGTCTTCTGTCCTCTGGTTCCCACAGCACCCTCTCCTCTCCTGGGGCAGGACTCCCTTCCATCCTATATAATAAAAGCCTCATATGCAAATTGTCCCCTGGGTGTGATCGGGAATTCGACTGCTCACTATGATGTGCGCTGACCACCAGGGGGCAGCGCGGAACAGGGTGGGCATTGGTGACGTGGCACTGGCAGCAGGAGGCGCTGCTGCCTGATGGGCCAGAGGAGAGCCAGATCATAGCGGGACAGTGGAGCACATGAGCAGGTGGTGCCAGGCCAAGGTGGTGCGAGCGGCCCAATCGCCAGCAGACACAACCAGTGTCAGCGGGGGGTGGGGCCGCCGCCTGACTCCCAGGCGCTGAGGGAGCAAGGGCAAATAGCAATATTAAAATATTTCTTCTAATTATTTTCCTTTCAATGTGCACGAATCCGTGCACGGGGCTACTAGTTCTTTCATAATCACTGATGTGCAAGTCATCAGAGGAAGGAAGGGATGCCCGTCAGCTGGGGCTCAGGACCTAGGGCTGATACACCCACACTCAAGCCCTGGGCACCCTCACACACGACCCTTAGAAAATAAAGCTTCTGCGTCCGGGACGCGGCCCCACACACCAGTTCCCAGCTCTCACACTGCAGAGGTGCTCAGGATTTTTATTTGTTTGCTGTGTGCAGGCTTGTTCTAAGCACTTTATGTGTATTTAACTCATGAATCTGTGACGTCATGTATTTGTTTTCACTGTGGACTAAGCAGCCCACCCCTGCTATAGACTGAGCGTGTGTGTCCCCCACAAACACGTGAAGACATGGCCAACTCTGAACCAGGAAGCGGGCCATAACACCAGACACCACATCTGCTGGTGCCTTGATCTTGGACTTCCAGCCTCCGGAACTGGAAACAGTTTCTGTTTGTGAGCCACCCAGTCTGTGGTATTCTGTTATGGCCGCCCAAGGGACTAAGGCACCCCACCCTTCACACTCAGTGGCTCGGAACAACAAGCAGTGATCTCTCACTCGCCGGTCTCTGGCCGGGCCAGGGCCCTGCTGAGTGGCTGCCGGGCGTTGGGCTTTGTCAGGCTCTAGTTGGGTTCAAATCTGCTTCGTGTGTCTCCTCACTTTGTGGACAGCAGCTACCAGAGTACGTTCCCTTGGAGCAGGCGCCGGGCCAGGCAAGCGCGCTCACAGCTTCTGCTCATGACGTGTGGCCCCGTCCTCTTCCCTCTGGAACCGGGGGGATGCTGGGCCTCAGGGCTGGGGCTGGGTGCTCACTCTGATGCCTGGCTCCGTCCACATCTCCCTGGGCACTGCTCAGAGGTCTCCAGCCCCCTCAGCAACCTGCCGTGGCTAATCACCGCTTCATCCAGGCTTTTAGTGCCCATGGCAACAGGAAGATACCAGGCGGGAGGCCAGCCTGAGGCTGACAGGCCACGGGCCTGGCTGTCTCACAGGGACCTCTAGAATGTTGGCAGTCACGCTGGTGTTCGTGAGGCTGTGCTTGAGAAGATCCACCAGGCCCACCGGAGCCACCAACCTGGGGGGTCGTGTTCTACGCGAACTTGACCCTTCATTAAAGGTCAGGGTGCCGTCTGGGTCAGGGTGGGGGCCTCTGTGGGGCTCGTCTAGAAAGATGATTTATCTTGACCTCAAAACATGGCTCTTTGATTCTTATTTCCTGAGTCAGTTCCTCCATTTTAATACATCCTGGGGGGATGGTTACTAATGTCTGCAGCTTATTTTTCATTTATTTTTAATGCCAAAGCTGCACATACTGATTAAATCCAACAATAAAACGTTTTGTAAATGGTTCCCCCCAAAAGTGGGGAGGAGGGGGGGGAGTAGTGGAGCAGGGGCTGCAGTAAATGGCAACTAAAGAGGAAACGGATGGACGGATGGATGTTCGCAGCTCTGGCCGCTGACAAAGCCCGTCACCCCTCACCCTGGTGTGTCCCAGAGATGCTCCCAGTTTCCAGGAGGCCAGCAATGTCCGATCTGAGACGTGGGAGCCACGCTATATGCTTGCAGGAGGGAAGGCTGGGAGGGGACAAAAGTGTGAAAACAGATGGAAATGTAATTTTTTAATGACAGCAGCAGATGGCAAAAAGACACAAGAGTGTGTTCGCACCATGTCGGAGCCACTTGAGAGCACCCGGCTCAGCCGTGATGTGCACCATGCGGCTGGCATGATGGCTCCCCTGCCAAACCCTGGAGGCCAGTGAGCTGCAGCGAGGAGCCTGCAGGCCCTCCAGGGAGGGGAAGGTGTGCTGCCAGGCTGTGTGGGGCCACAGATAGGTGGGGAGATACCTGTGGCCACCTGGGTAGGGCCCAGCAGCATCCCGAACCTGGCTTTTGTAGACACAGGAAGGCAGTCGCCGGTCTCTGGTTTCAGACAACCCCTCCTGATGGTCCCCATGCCGCTGTCCTAGCTCAGGTCATCGCCACTGCTCACCTGGACCTCTCACAACCTCCCATCTAAGGTGAGTCCCCTGCTGCTGGACTGTTGTATTTCTGAGTGCAGAGCTATTCATGTCACTCCTCCACCTGCAACCCAAACGTGGCGTCCTCCCAGACACACAGGAGCCTGCCTGCGAGCACACTCTTGGCCCCTCCTTGTGTTGCCAATTTATTAACAGCAAATAAGCCAATTAAGTGGAGACTATTAAAGAACTTTAAATGAGAGAGAGGGAAGAGAGAGAGAGAGAAAAAAAAGAGAGAGAGGTTTACAAAGCAGGCCCTAGAGAGCTGGCCACTGCATGTCTTTCTTGCTTCACCTCTCACCACACTCAGTGGGGATGGTAATGCCTCCTGGGGCAGCCATGAGCAAAAGAAACCTCTCCTGCCCTGGCCGGTAGCTCAGTTGGTTAGTGTGTCCTCCCCATATGCCAATCTTGTGGGTTCGATACCCGGTCAGGGCACATACAAGAATCAACCAATGAATGCATAACTAAGTGGAACAACAAATTGATGCTTCTCTCTCTCTCTCTCTCTCTCTCTCTCTCTCTCTCTCTCTCTCTCTCTCTCT